AGGATGAATCTCCAGAAGTCTTGGAAGGAAGACGGCTTGTGGAAATAGCTGAAGAGCAGCAACTTCAGGCAACACCAGGAAAACAGGAACAGTCCCAGCTTCTAGAAACAATTCCCAAAGAGGATAAATCTCCAGAAGTCTTAGAAGGAAGCCAGCTTGTGGAAACACCTGTAATGAATGACCCCCTCCATAAAACTCCTGAAGGTCCAGGAAGGGTGGACCAGATTCAACTTGAAGGAATAGTTGGAAGCTTGGAGCATTCAGCAGGAACTGCAGAGCCAGGGGCCAGGGTGGAAATGACCAGGAAAGTTCATAGTAATGAAGAAGACCAACACATCGAAGGTAAAAGTTATGCTGTCAAACATTCAGGACGTTCACGTGTGCTCCATAGAGACCAGCTCTGGGGGAGGGATGACTGACAGTCACTGATGGCTCTTTTAGCTGCTAAAGTTCATTTGAACTAAACAAAAAGTCCTCCATCCCCGAGAAACAGGTATTCCCTCAATGCTTGGTTCAACCTGCCAGTAAAACTTTCCTAAGGTGCAAATTCTTAAAATAGAATTCCATGGTTGAACAGTATTAAATATCGAAGGCAATATGCTAAAATCTCTGAATTTTTCCAGACTCATTCTTTATCACTCCCCATATATGGTATGAAGATCCATAGTAAAGGTGGATAGATAGTTAGTGGAGGACTTGACCTTCCAATGAAAAAGTATGTTAAGTAAGGGGTTCTAGGATGAGAATGTTATTTTCATCTCTGCCAGTGTCATCCTTAGAAAATGACCGTGTGCCCTGGTTCTTCTGTTGTCTTTTGATCTTTATGAGAAGACTATGGAAAATGTATTATGTCTTAGTACACGGTGTTTTTAAATTTTAGATGTCTTTTACCAGCATGGAACAAATTGTATTTATACTGTTCTTGCTGGTGTTGTAATAAAAAATAAACATTTTCTTATGGGGCATGATTTACATTTTTGTAACATTTAGCTTCATAGTACAGTACAATGAAATGAAGCATTAATGATAGCCACCTATCTGTTTTTTAATTTTTTCACTTATCAACTCAGCATTCTTTGCATGCCTGCCCATATGCGAGGTGCTAGACAAGCAGATTAACTGAACCCCTTCACCATCTATTCCGGCACATGCTTTAATAAAAATGTGCAAAAAATGCCTTGGGGACAACATGGGAGAGGCAAGTGAAAGCAGATATGTGTTAGACCAGAGTAGACAGACTCAAAAGCCTTTGGACCTTAGATGCTGCAAGTAAGTGAAGTGAGGGGAGCCCTGGGGACCTTGGTGCACTGGAGAGCACAGCCCTGTCAAAAGAGGCAGCTCTGTGAGGCTGCACTCCCGGAATGGGGCCAGTGTTGCCAAAACCAATCTCTCAGGGAAGCAGATGTGTACGTGCAATGCCCAGACTTGTAAATGTCCACAGTCTTTAAATGTTTACCAGTTGTTTTCTCTAAACACCATAATGGCCAAACCAGAAAGATTTGGAGGCATCTCTGGACCACCATTTGATTTCGATACTAATGAAACTTTTTACTATAATATGTCCTCCTGCCATTTCTTGGGTAATTTTGCATCCTGAATTTAGAGAGAAAATTTATTTTATGAGAATATAAGACTTGAGCTGCTAAGTGACTTGACGTCAGTCATTCAAAGGCTCTGAGAGAGTCAAGGTGATGGTCTTTCTGGAAACCTCCCAAGAAACCCACTGTTCAGATCAAAAGATCAAGAACTTCTCCCACTGGAAACAAACTGTGGGGTAATTTATTGTTAATGACAAATGAGTGTGTTTCTCTCTCTTTTTTTCCCCAAGTATTACTTTATTTATGTCACTATGCTTAAGTTACAATAAATGAGTGTTTCTTACTATCTCCCTTGGTTACTTTTCCAGGTGAGACAGGGGAAAAGATGGAAACAGAGATGGAGAATGAGGAAGTAAGTGAAGGGGCTGAAACAAAAGAAGAAGAAACAGGAGAAGCGGTGGACCTTTCAGCAGCCGCATAGATCGGTGTGGTGAGAGAAGGGGGGACGGAGCCAATGTGACATGATAGAGAAGGCAAAAATGGCAGTGAAGCTTGTGGTTGTGGGTCTTATCTTTCTTCATCTACGTGTTTTACACAAGGAGTTGGTTTTAGATCGTTGGAACCATGAGAATGTTATTGTCATGTTCTTGATTACATTGTTCTATAAAACTGCTAAGCCGTAAACAATTTTCTTAGCTACTTAGAATAGTTAGACTTATAAAATTACAATAGCCAGAGCCAATGAAAATTAGGGTTTATGATCATTTAAGAGTGTGAAGGTGACTTTCTTCATTGTGGCAATGTGTTCATTCAATGTTGAAAATGAGGCACTGAAAAGAAAGTATAAACCTGGCTCGGCACCCGTAGCACAGTGGTTACGGCGCCAGCCACATACACCGGAGGTGGCAGGTTCGAACCTGACTCGGGCTAGCTAAAGAACAATGACAACTGCAACAAAAAAATAGCCAGGTGTTGTGGTGGGCACCTGTAGTCCCAGCTATTTGGGAGGCTGAGGCAAGAGAATCGCTTAAGCCCAAGAGTTTGAGGTTACTGTGAGCTGTGACGCCGCAGCACTCTATCAAGGGCAACATAGTGAGACTCTATCTCAACAACAGGAAGGAAGGAAGGAAGGAAGGAAGCTTTAGGTACAGATGGCTGGGGAGTTAGCAAATTTTAGAAAATTCATAGTTATAATTGCAATGAAAGAAGAATGAACTAAAACAAAACGGGGTGAACTCTACCTAGCATTTCTGTCCTATCACAAAATTTAGACCTGATAAGACCTGTAATGTGTCACTTAATTACCTTCTCATCTTTAAGGCTCTCTACTACCACAGATTCTTTTTATCATAGTACACATTAAATATGTTAACAAAAAGAATTCAAACTCTGGTGCTGTTGCACGATTAGGCATTTTCACAATGAAAGGCTATGTATTTTCCATGTGTCATGTTGAATTAGCTGTTGATTTTTACACTTATGTGAGGGTTTTCAATTGGTGTTATCCTTTTGAATAACTAATTAAAGGTATTTCAAATTAATTGACTTTTAAATGTATTTCAGAGGCAATAAACAACAAGAATTAAAACCTAGATTTGCTGCCTATGTGAAGTCTTATCTCCGGGTCGTATTTTTTTTTTTAAGTGACTGATTTAATGTTAGACATTAAACATAGAAAGGAACGAAGATGCTAAGATTGGAAAAGCATTTATACTATTTCAGTGTCAGAATGAAGCACCGTAGAAAGTCAGTTTTTAGAAATTCCCCCAAAGTTGGCAAGGGATTTGGTAAATGGTTGAATAATAATAATAATGATAACTAACTTGCTCACCATTGAGTGCCTTTTTGTTTGTGAATATTGAAATAGAATTATGGAAATATTTGGTTTCTTTATCTTATTTGTAAATATGTATTTCTAAGACAACTGCTCAGATGAATTAACTAAGCTCTTTTACTTTAGTTTCTACATTAGAGTGACTACTAAGATGACCTATAATTAAAGATAAAAATATAGGATTCAAGGAAGGATGTATCATATTTATTCTGATTTTCATATTAGTTTAAATGCTTCTGACTTTAAAAGGGTTGTGGTAGATAAACGGAAGAGTTCCTTGAGTCGGTGACATTATCCTTTCTTCAGAGATGCTGGATTGTGATTTTATGGAGAGCAAGCACTGTGTTTTATGCATCTTTGAATTCAGGCATTAGGTCCTTCAACAGAACATGGTAGATACTTGATAAATATTTGTTGAATCAGTAAGTTGAATAACAGATGCCAAGGGTTCATGTTCACATTTAACTCACTCAACAAATAATACATTTAAAACATGAATTTGGCTCATGCCTATAATTCAACACTCTGGGAGGCCGAGGCAGGTGGACCCCTTGAGCTCAGGAATTCAAGACCAGTCTGACTAAGAGTGAGACCACTTTTTCTACTAAAAATAGAAGAACTACCCAGGCGTTGTGGTGGGCGCCTGTAGTCCTTGCTATTTGGGAGACTGAGGCAAGAGGATCGCTTGAGCCCAAGAGTTTGAGGTTGCTATGCGCTAAGATGATGCCATAGCACTCTATTACCCAGGGCTACTGAGTGAGACTCTGTCTCAAAAAAAACAAAAATTTTGAGAGTTTCACTTTGTTGCCTTTGGTAGAGTGCTGTGGCATCGCACAGCAACCTCAAACTCTTGGGCTTAAGTGATTCTCTTGCCTGAGCCTCTCTAGTAGCTGGGACTACAGGTGCCCGCTACAACACCCAGCTATTTTTTGTTGCAGTTGCCATCATTGGTTAGCTGGCCCAGGCTTGGTTCGAACCCATCAACTTTAGTGTATGTGGCTGGTGCCATAACCACTGTGCTATGGAGCCGAGCCACAAAAAAAATTTTTTTAAAAATATAAATTTGTGTAGTACCACTCCAGTCCTACCTGGGACATTGAGGAAAATCCATTTTCAAGGCAAGACTGCTCAAGCTCAATGAAAAGCTGCATGTTTGGTGTAGCTCCAAAAACAGCAATATTTGGGGGGCAAAAAATTCAATAAAACTGATATAACTTATCTTGGAAGCTACATTTTCTTATCCATAGGTTTTTATTCCTTCTTAGGAGACATTTTTATACAGATATCTCATAAGTAGAAAATGTTAGGGCTTATTGTAAAATGCGAATGTTCACCTTACTAAGTAGAATTGTCTTTTATATCAAGCACTGAAATAGAAGGATTAATTTAATTTATAGGCATATAGGTCCATTCTCTGTTGGGTGGATATGTTAAAGAGATCTATTCAGAATGTATTCTTCAAAGAACTCTTTCTCACAAAGCATTATATAGTTCCAATTAACTTTTCCAGATTGTTTATTTTTTGTTTTATAATTTTAGAGATAGGGTCCAGCTCTGTCACCCATGGTGGAGTGCAAGGGTACAATCATAGCTCACTGCAGCCTTGAACTCCTGGACTCAAGGGATCTTTTTGCTTTAGCCTCCCAAGTAGCTGGGAATACAGGCCCACATCACCACACCCAGCTGATTTTTCTGGTTTTGTAGAGACATGGTCACATTATTGATCAGGCTGATCTCAAAATCCTGGCCTCAAATCCTTCTGCCTCAGCCTTTCAAAGTGTTAGGATTATAGGCATGAGCCACCACACCTAGCCAGAAACCTTGTTTCTTGATCTTTTAATATTAAGTGCTTAAATTAAAAACCTATTAAGAACATTAAAGTATTCCATAATATTTGAATATTCTAACATTTAAATATTCCTTCTAAACAATGGGTTAATTAAAAATTAAAAGTATAGTGGTGCCTGTGGCTCAAAGGAGTAAGGCCTCGGCCCCATATGCCGGAGGTGGCAGGTTCAAACCTGGCCCCAGCCCCCCCCCCAAATAAAATAAAAAATAAAAGTAATAAATAATTGCAGTAAAAGTCAAATACAGAATGGTATAAAATAGGCAGTAAAGTTTTCCCTCTATCATTTAGTCCTTCAGTGAAAAAATAATAAAGTTTCTAGTATATACTTTTGGAAGAAAAGGTATATGTGTATGTCAGGCTGAATATGTATGCTAAAATATAAGTGTATATTTACATATCTACATTTTAGAACACAAATGACAAATTATTTACATAGCCCCTGTACTATGAAAAGTTCGTGTAAACCCACTAATTTATCATTTCCTATGTTAAAATGTTTTTCTTTTGCCTAACACTGATAATGATTTTAAATTTTAAAATATTAGGGGGGTGCCAAAATGATTTTTGTTACATGGATACATTGTGTAATGCTGAAGTCAGGTCCTGTCACCAGAATAGTGTTCATTGTACTCAATAGGTAAGTTTTTATTCCTCACCTTCCTTCCCCCCCAAACCTGATAGTCTTAAAAGAGCAAAATATATTCTGATCCTAAGTCCCCAGCCCTGAGACAATCAGTTTTGCCCCAAATTCAAAATGTGCAAGGTGAACAATAGGCTTGAGCTGTCATAATGAATTCATAGAAAAATTGCCATCAGGGCTGGAATTTTTATCACTTGGTGCTATGTAGCCACTTTGAAGCCTAGTTGATGTTCTATTAATTACAGTAATTTTATTAATTTCAATACCTAACTGGGAGGGAAATGGGGAACCAATTTCTCAACTAGCATCCCCAGAAGAGAGTGAATACTTGGCATTGGCCAGCAGGGGGTGCCAGCTGCAAATCTAGGTTATTCCCAGACTACTCCCAGAACGCTTGGCCAGAAGTACCAATGCCAGGGGGATACCACAGGATAGGAATGTGTGGTCAACCTGTTACCTTACTGCTTTTTCTTTCTTTCTTTTCTTGTTTTTTTTTTTTGAAACAGAGTATTACCTTGTTGCCCTCAGTAGAGTGCCATGGCATCATAGCTCATAGCAACCTCAAACTCTTGGGCTCAAGTGGTTCTTTTGCCTTAGCCTCCTAAGTAGCTGGGACCATGGGCACCTGCCACAATTCCTGGCTATTTTTAGAGCTGGGGTCTCGTTCTTGCTCAGACTGACCTCCAGCAATCCACCCACCTCGGCCTCCCAGAGTGTTAGGATTACAGGTGTGAGCCACCGCTTGGCCTCTGCTTTTTCATTAAGGCTTTGAAGGAAGAGCTGTTATGTTTCAAGCAGTTAAAATACCTACAAGATTCTTAACCAATGCTTTTCTCCTTGGGCTTAAATTAAAAATTTCTTTTAAGGGAAAATGTTTTTTCCACTTTTAACTAATCAAAGAATATTGGATGGTCATAGTCAAATAACCCTAGTAAGATTTACATTTGTGCTTTTTTGGCAAATATAATAGCTTGTTAGAGAGTACAGGTATCCTGTTTTTATAAAGATAGCCTGGTGATCCAGTTCTGAATTCTGAACAAGGCCAGCAGTGTGGACATTATAAAGCCATTCATTTGCCCACACATATCTGCCAGGTAAAAGGATAATGATCTTTTTCTTCCTCTCCTCACACCTGATAGCAAGGCATGGCTGTGTTTGAAAAGTTTAGTGTTAGTTTACAAGATGTTATTCAGTCTAAAACTGTTGTCAGCTTCTCGCCTTCCCAGGGTTTGTAAAAGTGTGAGTGTTTGGTTATTATCTTAAGGGTATAATTGCCAAGGCAGAATCAGTGTAATCTCACAGAGCAGCTGACAGATGTGGAATTTCTCTTTTCGGTTCTTGTTATTATAATTAAAAGTTGGGGACGCCTAGGTATGACTAATCCACATACAGTCAAATTGGAGGCTTTTGCTTTACTTTAATAATACCACTCAGCAAATTTATTGGAAAATATTTGAGATATTAAAAGCTGACAACCCCGTCATTATCCTGTGCTTGATGAAAGACATCTCAGACATCAGAGCCAGCCTTTAATAACTTGGAAAGGGGAAGAAAGGCCAATCCATATTATATT